CTTTTAGGTAATTTTTTTTTTGAATTTTTTACTTTTAACATTTTTTACCATTCGTTTTTTATTTCAACAGCTACAAAAGACAAACAGCAGCTGCAAAAAAATGTGAACGATTCATATCATGGACGAAAGAACAGTTCAGTTCTGATTTTCCGCAACGTTATTGCTGTAATATGAAACAATTTTAACACTCTCTCCTCTCTCACCTCCCTCTCTCTCCCTTCCTCCCTTTCTCTCTGTAATATATCAACTTTTGTACAATTTGGTTGTGCTTTCTGGTTTTATTCTGCGTGCAGTTTTGGCCGCATATTTTCCGGGTCTGTTATTGTTTTGCTTCATTTGACATGCAACCGGAACCCATTCAATGTTTGTGCAGGGAAATTAAAAACAAGGTAGGTTCAGTGGGATTAGGCAAACCATGAATGTTCCATGCTGTTCGTTGTTTGATTTGGTTTCATTTGATTTTCGTTTCGAGTTCTTCTAAAGGCCCCAAACATGTTCAGATTTACACGATAACGAATAGTTTTCAAAGGCTGTGTAAATAGCCAGGGCGTGTTTGGATAGGATCTGCATAAACTAAACTAAGACAGAATTGAATGAGATTGGAGGTAGAGAAAGAGAGAAAAAGAACGTGAGCTAACTAAATGTTGAAAACTATTTAAGTATTGCCAAATGAAAAAACATTTTTTAAGGGCCACTTGAATTTATGAAAATCGCATAGAGAGGCGGTTTTGTATAAGAGGCGATAGGGCGACCGGGTAAATTATGAAGAGAGAATTAGACAAAGATATAAAGAACAATGAAGAGAAAGAAGCCGAGTTTGTCAAACAGGTAGTAAGAGAAAATAGGACTGAAAGCTGTTTGATTCTTACCCTAAACAAAACAAAACTTTCGAAATTGTTTCAACCACATTTTGCCCACTTGTTTGTCCTTAGATAAAGCTAATTCGACGCTCTAATATTTGCCTCAAATAGCAGTTTACCTCAACTCACAAATCCCATGCCAATAACCGGCAAGACTCCAAAGCCATCAGTCAACAAGAATGTAGCGCTGCTGCCACGCCCCCAAGTCCACAAGCCCGACTAAGTCTCGCTCGCTTAGTTACGAAAACCACATCAGGCAAATATGTAAATAACTTTTAAGAAATTAAGCACACAGGCCCAAAACAAGCAGCCAGCAGCGATGCCTAAGCCCGGCAAAGTTGAGCATTCGACTTGAGTTGCGGTAGACACGGGAGCAGGAATAGTAGGAGTCGGAGCCAGGCGCAGGTCTAGAATGCAATCACTTATACGCACCGTTGCACAGGACGTCCCAAAAGTTTCGGGCAACGCATTGAAACGGAAGCTGACAATGAGGCAGCGTCTTGACTCGGAAAAGTGAGCAACGCAAACACTCAAAACAGATGCCGCCAGGCAGCTAACATTAATTACACCAGTTTTTACCTGTGCCCGGGCAAAAGAAAGGGAAAGAATTTGTAGATGGGCATAAGCTGTGCGATTGCCACGTGAACTGTATGTGCTTGCATTTTATCTGCTCCAATTGCAACGCTCCGGGACATCGGTGAGTGCCGCAGCATATTTACAATTACTCTGGCATTTAATGCAAGTGGGAATTACAATGGATGGCGCCCGTTTATGGGCGAATCACAATGGCAGCATGGACGTTTCAAATATTCAAAACGAACCGAAGAGTATGCCAGTCATATGCAGCTACATACCCTGGGATAAGGGTGGAGACCAAAGCATGTGTGCTAGGCAGAAATAATATCTGGCACAGTCTTTTGTCAAGCACACAATTTACAACTCAACTATCTTGCGCTCTCGCTGGCATTGTGTGATAACTAGCCTGATAAGGTTTCTATTTAGATAATAAGTTGACAATGTTAACAGCAGAGCTCTGAAATAGCTTTACAATCGCTTAAAAATGAAATTATCCTCTTAGTTATTGTCTTAGTTTAATACATTTTTCTTTATATGAGCTCCGCGATTAAAATAAAAAGAAAACTTAATATATATTTATACAGAAAATACACTGAGATTAGAGAAACTTTCGTAACTGCTTCCATAACAAATTCTTGATGTTTTGAGTCGAAATCGAGATAGAATTGAATTAAGTATAATTTGTACTTAAGTTCAGAAAAGCTCTAGATGGTCTTAGAATAAGTATAACATTTCTTGCATCAAATACAAAACTGTAATTTTAATTAACATTTTTACTTAATTCAGAAGCAGAAAGAAAAAGAGAAAACACACAAATCGTTATACTCTTTTATTCTTTAGCTCAGTGACCGCTAAGCAGGCTTTCTAGTTGTTCGAAGAAAAAACTTAATACTTTTAAGAGACTTAACCAATCGCTAAGTACAGGGTATTTCCGAGTAAAAGCGCGCTAAAGTTTTATCCCTTTTGCATACAGCCTGAACAGTAAACAATAACAGTCGACAACAACAGTCAAGGATGGCAAGCGATTACAGGACACAGCCGCCGTTCCCTCTATTCAAAGCGGCCACAGAATACAGACAGGACTACGGCATACGGCTAAGTGTTTTGCAACGGAAATGCCAAGCTATCATGCAAAAAGCCAGCGGCAGATTAACGAACCATGGCCAAGGCATGCCAAAAGGTGCACAGGATGCAGATAGAGCAAGTGAGATACAGCGTACGATAGCGAGAGAGAGCGCGCGAGAGAGGGCGACTGAGAATTCGCCCTGGCACGTGACGCAGCGGCAGTCCATGACCAAGTGCTGATTTTTCATCCGGCCAAGTGGGTGGTCGCTGCCTTGCCACCAGGAAAACGAAATTATTGACATTGTCGCCAGGCCCCAAACGCACGAAGCAGCGACAACAGACAACAAAAGAAGAAAGCAACAGCAAAGCATTAACGAAAATCCATATACGCTTGCCAAAAAAAAAAAAAAAAACAAAATGCGTCATGCTAAGTGTACACAAGCCAATCGAATTCACACCCCGGGGTGGGAAATTAGTGAAAAATTCGTTGCTTATTTTAAAACTAAGCCAAATAAACTGGATTTTAAAGCTGAACATAAAGTATTTATCGCTTATGGTTTCACCGCTTTAGCAAATGCACGATTACTGGTGGAAAATCAAAGCGAAAGATAAGTGATAATCTAGGCGAATAGTTTAAATTCAAACCGATCGACTTCGAACTCGATTTGAAAGCTGTAGATAAAAATGGATCGGTTTTAGTCTCCCCAATTTTAGAAAATCTAGGAACACCCTGCTTATATAAATGAAAAATGATGTGAAAAGTTTAACTTTCGAGGGACCTAAACTCACGTTCAAAAGTGGAAAACGCGTGAAACAAAAGGCTTAAATTTAAAAATGTTGATTCGGGTAAAGCCGAGTAATATTAGCTAGACATTTGTAGACACAACAAGCAGCTCAGCAACCCCCTGCTGGCCAAAGGGAATACGCTGCTATTCCCATAGCTTAAATACGAATGCATTCCCAACAGCAAAGCAAATCCGTGCAAGAGGACAAGCCGAAGAAGTTTTTAAAAGGTGGAAATATCCTTATTAAGTATCAATTTGTGCAAACAGTTGAGCCAAAGACAAAGGCACGTAAACAAGTTAATAAAAACAAATGCAGCCGTCCTTGGTTCGCACTCTGTTGATATTAGCTGGCCAGCTATGTAGCGATTGTGTGTCCCCAACTTTGGTGGCAACATTTAACCATTTTCTCAACTTTTTCGATTCTCTTTTGGCCAATGGGTCGCTAATTGTTTCCAACATGGGCTAGTGCCTGCACAAACACCTCGACAGCCATGGTTATGGTAAAGTGCGTTAAAAGGCTTCCTAGGTCTGTCCACCTTCCCCTGCACCGCACCATCAACACGCCCCTCCGCCCGTATTGGCTGGAGCAGCTGAAGTGCATTTCGCCCGATGGCGTTTTACTGTTTGCCTTAATTGAAAACTTTTGCGCAGATATTTTTCGTGTTTGGCTTCGAAATATACAAAAAGCAGGCAAAAAACAAAGTGAATTGGAAAAGTTTCTAGTTTTTAACGCTTTGCCGCCTTGCATTTGTTTAGCTCTACTAAGCGACTTGCCGCGGCTTAAAGTTGCGCAGCTAACAATTTTTCATGCCCCATCCCCGCGGCAAACCGAACAACACCCAGCCCCTCCCCCTCCCCCTCCGCCCAAAAGTTAGCCGACAATTAGTTGGGCAGCCTTACGGGAGCTGCACAAAACCAAACTCGATGCGTTTTTCCAGCATCCTGGCGAAAAGCTCATTACAATTTGGCTGCGGCACTCACCGGTTTTACACGCTACACTAATTAACAAAGCATGAGAATGGTTTCGGTTTTGTGCAACACACATTAGCATTGTGTGTGTGGTGTGTGTGTGTACAACATGTGTAATAGCTGGCAAAGTAGTGTGCAGAATAATTCATTTAAATAAAGAGCTTGTACATTTTCCAAAAACTGTTTAGAGTTTTACTTAGAAAGAATATTAAAAACTTTTGAGCACTAGAGAAAGTCTTAATAGGCAATCATTTTTATTGCTGTTTTATATGATCTGCATAGTCGTTGTTAAAGTGCTTGTTAGCTTTGACAAGAACTTTAGAAGAATTTTGCTGCACAACTTTAATTTACATTAGTTTCGTACTTTTTTTAATCAAGCAAATTATGCTTGAGAAAAAGTCATAAACAAAAATTGTAGAAAATAGAACATTTTCTCTTAAATATTAGAAAATATTTTAAATTTATAGACATTTTCAATTTATGTCGATTTTTTTGGGATTTACGAATTGCTTGCATTGAATGGGAATATATAGTCTAAAAGCTTCCTAAACGATATAAAATCGTTAGCTTAACAACACTGTTTTTTATCGAATTCACTTTCGATTAATCGATATTTGATTCAATATCTCATCACTTTGTACTTTGCTTTAAGTATAGAACCCAAATCTGAACTAATGCAACCTTTTACTGTTACTAATTGTTTCTTTGTGTTAAATAGTAATACGTTTTTTTTTGTTGTACTCACAATTTCCCTCTGCAGCTTGGCAATGTTAAAGTTCGCCTGGGCCAAACGTACACTGAGCGTTGCCACATCGCTGGTGAGCTGTGCCCGCTCGTTTGTGTTGCGATCGACCAGCTTGAGCATTTTATCCTCCAGACTCTGATTGACTTTCTGAACACGTTTGTGCGATTCGTAGAGACGATCGTATTTATCCTGCCACGCAATCACACTGTCCTCTAGCTCCACTTGGCGCTCCGTTTCCCTCAGACAGGCCGTCTCCAATGCGTACAGTTGCGTTTGCCTCTCGAGCAGCGCCTGCTGCAGTTGCTCAATTTCTGTGATGGGCGTTGGGGCAGCTGCTGTTGCGGTCGCTGCTGCTGCTGTTACGGCTGCAACAGTTGCTGTTGTTGTTGCTGCTGTCGCTGTTGCTGTCAGGTTGCCCGCTGTGTGCGCTTCGCTGGACGTCTGCAATTGAGTGGATGTCAGCGTTTGAATAAAATGGCAAAATTATGAGTATTTTGTAATTAATTTTGCTTCCGCCGCCGGACGCGAGTGTCACACAGTTTCGACTGCAAAAAATAAATAAATGCTACTAAGCTCAGGGCAGCGAGAGGAAGTGAACACAGCGCCAGCATCCATTCAATACAAGCGGTTCTTTTTTTATAAATAACACAAAAAAGATTCGAGCGTGCGTCCCACCGTGCGCTCCCATCATAAAAATGCACGTCATGCTCATAAATGCTACACAGAGACAAAGCACGAGGGAGACAGACAGAGAGAGGGAGAGTGAGGGGTGGGTTGGTGGGGCGGGGCAGTATGTAGTGAAGAGCGCACTGATAACGCGCCTGCTTTGGCTGCGTTTAACAATTTCAGCTTAACCAAAGCAACAGAGCAGCATCTGGTTTATTTTTCCAATGCCAGAGATAAGACAAAACAAAATAGAACAGGTTGATGAAATTGCGACTGGCAGATATCCTTTGTAGAAATGTTTGATTAAACATTTACAGAAATAAAAAATTGTTCAAATATAAAAAAATCTGAAATGTTATACTGTAACAAAAGGGCAATTTACAGTCTAGACCAAATCTACATGAACTTTTGGGACCTTTGGATTTTGAAAAGAGACAATTAGCAGAAGTACATATATTGTTTAAATAATTCTAACTCAAACGTTTTTGTATTGACAATTCCTCTCAGTGCCTTTTTTTTAATATAAATACTTATATTAAGCTGGCCGGCTTCAGCTCTTCTGACAGGTTACTTGATGCTTGAAATTCTCAACAAGTTTAGGTTTTGAAAGGGGGACAAGGCTTTAGAGAAGGCTGCTGATAAGAGAACGGTTAGGTGCTTGCTGATTCGTAGCTCAAATAGATTCCCATTAGTTTTTATTAAATGCAAATAATTTAAATGTCAAATGCCCATAACCCTTTTCACAGGGTATTCAACAATCTGCTAATCGAGTTAATTAGCTGAGGGTTGTCCAATAGAACAACTCTCTCTCGATCGCTCTCTCTCTCTCTCTGTCTATGATCATTGGCTTTAGCAGCGCCTGCACAATGTGCACAGCAGGTCAGCCACTGATAAGCCGCAGTTAAGTCTGCAGAGAGCAAGAGAGAGAAAGAGAGAGCGACACAGATACTGAGATCATGTTGTACATGGAGAGCAACAATGCTGTGAGTAAGAGCTATAATGTAATGGTATATTTTCGCTATTGTTCTGTGTTCTCGTAAATGAACCTAAAGATATACATATATATAAATATATATGTATACCCGGCCTTGCCCGGGTTAAGTATAAAATAAATTCTGTCACGATAGGATAAACAGTTTTTAATATATATACAAAATATATCATATCCAATATTCGCTTCGATAAATATTGAAAAAATGTTCAACTGTTAATTTCGATGTATTCATCATGTGAATATACCAACTATATTTATCAAATCAGTTGACATATATTTTATCAAATATATTTTGGGTAAATCTGTTTTAAGTTGTTGCACAGTTTAACAAAAAAAACGAATTTATAGTAGACATGATAGCTTATCTCACGCTCGCTTACCTCAGAGAATACTCTACGTAATCTCGATGCAACTCTCGCTTATCAATTGCATTATTATCGTGGCGGGACTATGGGCGGGCAGCCGCGTTGTTGGGCCGCTGCAAGCGGCCAGCCGCAGGAGACAAGAAGCGAGACCAAAATCAAAGTGCAAACTACGCTCATATGTACTTTATGGCAAGCCGAGTGGTACGTGTGCATGTAATTGGATTAAGTTGACAGAAAACAACAACAGCAACAATGGGAAGAGGAGCAGCCGGAATGCAGCCGGGCTAAAACTTTGTCTTTGGTTACAGTCACAGACTGCGAGAAGCCTCAGCTGGGAGACATGGCAGGAGGCAGAGAAAAGGAGAAAGAGCGCAGCGAAGTCAAAGGACTTGCTTGTCATATATGAGGCGTTGGGTTCATTGTCTACTCAAACCTAAAAACTGCAAAATGTACAGAAAATTTAATTAAAAAAGGATTTTTGGGCCATGGCAAAAGTTACTTTGGCTTCCTTGGCTGCTGACTTGGCCCTCTCTCTCTCTCTCTCTCTCTCTCTCTCTCTCTCTCTCTCTCTCTCTCTCTCTCTCTCTCTCTCTTTGTCTGCGTCTTGTGCCGCGCCAGCATTTCAAATCTCAAAGAAGAGGACACCAAATATATTTCAGCTTGTCTTTAACGCATATAAGGCAAATTGAATTTATAGTTTTCGATGGTTTGGCGTGTGGGCGTGGCAAATTGCCAGCGACAGGCAAAGCAATTAATTAATTTCGTCAGCGATTGCAACAGTTAAACCAGGCAAGGGGTTGGGAAGAGACTTTCTCTCATGAGCAGCATGCATTTTCCTTGTGTTATAGAGAGTATTTGCACACACACACACACACACACACACACACACACACACACACACACACACACATCCACACACACATATATATATATATAAATATATACATATGCCAGTTGGTTGCATTTTAAATGGGGCTTTTTGTTTGGATTTCATCATAAAATGGTTTTCATGTTTTGCATTTTATGTTGTGTTTGTGTTTTCATGTTGTCAGCATGTTTCTGTTTTTGTTATTTTTTTTGTGTTTCGGCTCTTTAGATAAGTTTGAATAATTTACTAAATGTTTTTTGATTGCTTTATCAAAATGAAGGCACTTGTTGTGTGCTCAGCAAAAAGTTAAACTAAAACTCAAATTTTATGAAAATGAATTTATTTACAAATATGCTTCTGATCATCAACTTTTTGCATTAGATTAAAGTACTTGTCTTTAATCTCTGACTAAAAGTTTATATTAAATGCATTAATAATTGTTTATCAATTCGTGTTGACGCAAATCTATTTACTTCTGGCTTAAGTCAAGTTTTGACACTTTCAGTCGATAAAAAGAAAGTTGTATTATCAGATTTTATGTATCCATTTCATAAGCTTATAGATATTATTGAGAAGGCATGGAATGAAAATATTATTAAAATCAAAAGGTTGGAATGTTGATAAATTTTAGATATTTTTATAAATTATGTTTAGGCAAAATTTATATAAAAATCAATCAAATCAATCAAATATAATTACTTAAAAAAACTTAATATATATAATAATAATATATTTCATGTTAAAATCGCATCAGCCTTGATTAAGTTATTGCATTTGAAGATCTAGCAAAAGTATTCAGCAAATATACAACAAAATGGTTTAAATCGTAACTTAATGACATTTTGTCTTTATTATCAGCAAATATCCATTTTTTGATTGAGTGCAAAAGCTGCTAAGCTGAATTCGCGTCAATTAGTTAATGAAAAACGCGACACAGATTTCTAAACAATTGGATCATCATTGTGATTTGCAAAAGGCACAAAATAATGAAAAACAAGACCCAAGCATAAATCTCTTGCACGCTCAAATGCAACTGAAAAGAAATTTACCCCGTTTTGTTTTCCTTTAGGCTCTCCAGCCTTGCAGCTCATTTTTCACGCCAAAAGGCAGAAAACAAAATTCTCGAAATGAGCACTGCGAAAACACGAGATGGCAAACCCCTTTTTTATGCAGTGCCAAAGATTTTCTAATTGTCATTGTGCTTTAAAAGCACATCAACAACGAGCAGCAGCAGCGAGGAAATGTGAGTGAAAAGCCAGAGCTGGGTAGGGGTTGGGTGTGTGTTCGCTGGGGCTCTGCCTTACTCATGATTGCATTTCACTTTGCTTGGGGACTTGTCATTATTTATTATATTTCTCAAGTCCTTTCATTACAAAATATTTTTGTCTTTCATTTGTTGCCTTTTGTGTGAAGGCAACATCCAACATCCAAGCAAATTTGCCTCAAACGAAGGACGCGAGCGCCAGGAGACAACAACAACAGCAACAACTGTTGTCGCATTCCGCGACAACCTGCTTATTTACAGTTATTTGGCTGCCAACCAAAAAGGCTTAAAAACAACCAAAAAAAAAAAAAAGACAAGTTAAAGTGCTCTAGTCGGGAGTGCACGACTAACAGTTGTCCTGTATTCAGCGCCAAGCTGGCCTTACACACTATGGGATATGTTTATAGACCGATCTGATATTCAGGTATGGAGAGAGATAATTGAAAAGTTAAGTAGTTTGATTCTGTGTACATTTTACGAAAATCCCTATCCCAAATTTGCTGGCCCTAGAACTTTTAGTCTTCGAGTAATTGTGCGTTGATTCAAAATCTATATTTATTATTATTATATGAAAATGTGGGAGAAAACGGGAAGAGAACATATATGTAAATCAAATTTCATACAAACACACAGATGGACGGGGCGGGATTGACCCGATATATGATATATATATATATACTTTGTATATTAAAGCAAATCCTTCTTTTGCCTGTCACATACATTTGCACAGCAACATTATAGCTCAACTCAACCAAATTCAATGGGCACAGGGTGCGTAAAAATGTGAAGCGGAAGTCGTCATATGGAAAAACTCGAAGCACTCATCATTAACTAACAGAAGACGCCAGATAAAAGGACTTGACAGCAGTTACAGCTATGCTTCAACTGTTTTTCAGCCTCATTTGAGTGGATAATTACAGAGCCGAAACCCAAGTCCCAAGACCCAAAAACCCAGCCCAGGAACCCAAATTCAATGGGCAGCACCCGTGCGCTCATGTTGTTTTTGTAACCAAAAACTTTCGTGTGGCGTCTGCCGTAATCAATAAATGAATTTTGTAAACATCAATAGATAAACAATATGCGCCAGAGCCAGAACCAGAACCGGAGCCAAAGCGTATGCCACTGGCAGTGGCTGTTGTGATGAATGGAAGGTCAATTGCTGTGACCCCAGCCTAGGGACCTGCCCTGCCACAGCGCTGACATTTAACAAAAACGACGCGCGCGCCGTCAATGCCAATGTGTTGTCAGTGCAGATGGATATGAGATGTGCCACAACCAGGAGGC